CCTCATGATTCGCCCGCCTCTTCTTCCCAAAGTGCTGGGGTTACAGTCATTTTTTAGTGATAGCCAGACATGATTGACTGAATAAAAGAAGCTGCTGCAGTAATATAGGCCTTCAGTAATGTAGTGGAAAGGCAAGGTGATGGGATAGGGGAAGTATTCACTCGTCCTACAATTAGGTTTTGGTCTGTTAGTGAGCTTTTGCCTCTGCACTGTGAACTTCACAAGAGCTTTTCGGTTCCTCCTGCCCTGCCTAGGTGGGACAGGATGGCCAGAGAGGGCTGGATTTGGGAATTTCTCTCCCCAAAATAAGTTAGTCTCTGAGAAAACCTTAGTAAGTTAGGCTGTGGTTAGTGTCTTCTGAGGGCAGAACATATTAGGAAGAACAGAATTCTCTGATTTATTTCAAAATGGCTACTTTTCCCTTCCCTCTGCCAGAAGCAGAAGAGGATTTTTCTTTGATATTCATTATGAGAACCTGGTAGAGCTCCAGGAGACAAAACTCATGAATGTGTGGGAGCCCCTCAATGACTGGATTTTCCTGGAGTTTTTAATCTCTCAGACTTGGCCCTCCGAGCTTCCAGCAAATAATCCATTACAGTTCAAGTTTTCCTACCCTGCGGTGGTTTCCATGGAGGGTTCTGCTCCTGGGTTTTTGCTCTGGTAAATTGTGATTCTTTGTACTTGCTTGTCTCTACAAAGTTACAGGGCAATGGTTTGCTCTATGACTTCACTGTTCTTACAGATCTAAGAAGAGTTGTTGACTTTTCAGTTTGTTCAGCTTTTTACTTGTTGTTAGGGTAGAGTGGTGACATCCAGGCTCCTTAAATGTTAAACTGGAAACTGGAACAGATCACAACAGGTATGTCTGAAATATTAGGACTCTTCAACATAGCCAACAAGCCATGTCACACTGGAAAGAAAGTGACCCATTTCTTGCTATCATTAATATCTAATCACAGTACAGATTTTCCCAAATATCCATTGAATACTTTTATCTAGTGGATTTTTTCACAACAAAATTCAGATAAGGTCCACACATTGCATTTAATTTATGTTTTCCTTGAATGGACTTTTCACAATCATCACCTTTTTAATTTCCTTGCAACAAATAACGTTGAAGAAACATGGCTGTTGGTCTTGTCGGGTTTCAAACATTGTTTCCCATGGGATTATTTAACTAGCAAGTTAAAATGTACTAACTAGTAAGTTAAATGTACTCTAACTTCTATGAACTGGTAGATATAGAGGCCTGAATACAGTCAGGCTCAATTCTTTTTTTTTTTTTTTTTTTTTTTTAAGATGGAGTTTCACTCTCATTGTCCAGGTTGGAGTGCCATGGTGCGATCTCAGCTCACCACAACCTCCGCCTCCCGGGTTCAAGTGAGTCTCCTGCCTCGGCCTCACCAGTAGCTGGGATTACAGGCATGCACCCCCATGCCCGGCTAATTTTATATTTTTAGTAGAGAACAGGGTTTCTCCATGTTGGTCAGGCTGGTCTCAAACTCCCAACCTTAGGTGATCTGCCCACTTTGGCCTCCGAAAGTGCTAGGATTACAGGCATGCGACCGTGCCCAGCCAGGCTCAGTTCTTTTTGAAAGAATACTAGTGTTAGTTCTTCTTATTGCTTCATATCAGGAGGTGCATAATGTCTGGTTGTCTAGTGTTTTGTGACTGATCAAGGTGGTTCGGAACTGTCAACTAGATCCATTGATTAGAAAGTACTCATCAATATTCCAGAATGATTTAGAAGACATTGGTGATCATTTCTTAGATTCATTATTTCATTAGAAGTAGCAAAATGGTGATATTATAACATTATCATTTCTTCTTAATTTATTAGCTGGAATTTCTTATAAAAATAACTTTTTCATACAAACTATTAGATTACCCTGAGGCATGGTTTTTATAAGAAAGACAATCTAAATATTCCATTATTCTTTTTATCTGTTTTCAGAATAATGAGTTTTCTGTGTGTGTTTTGAGTATAATTTTTTTTTTTTTTTTTTAGACAGGGTCTTGCTCTTTTATCTAGGTTGCAAAGCAGTGGCATGAACATGGCTCACTGAAGCCTTGATCTCCTGGGCTCACAGGACCCTCTCACCTCAACCTCCTCGGAAGCTGAAACCATAGGTATGCACCACCACACATAGCTAATTTTTTCTTAATTTTGTGTAGAGATGGGGTCTTGCCATGTTACCCAGGCTGATCTCAAACTCCTGGAATCAAGGAATCCTCCCAATCAGCCTCACAAAGTGTTAAGATTACAAGCGTGAGACATCACACCTGGTGAAATATAATTTTAAACTCACAGATTTTAATATGAATTTCAATTTATTGCAATTGTTGTTTTGGTATACACAATTTCCCATCTTTGGCAAGAAATAATCCCTTCAAATTGGCTCCTAAGTCCTTGGAAATGCAGTATCTTTTAAGAGTTTCCTTTCTTTCGGGTTCAACAAGATGGTTTCAGCTCATTTCAGACATTTCTTGCCATTTCTCCAAGGAGTTCTTATTCCTTTTAGCAGAAAATTGCAAAAGAGACTATAATCCGGGTTCTAAGCAAGCTCATTACTGATTTTCAAAGAACAAGGCTAGAAAATGTGCTTCTGTAAAGGAAATACATTATGATTTTATAATAATATTTCTAATTCAAATTTGTAATTATAAATGTAATGTATTACTTTACTTAGCATCTTTGATCATATATATATATAGTTTCTTGATTCCTAATATTAACAAAATTGCATGTTATTTACCCTGCAAAATATATATAATAGATTCAGAATAACAATATTAACAAATACTATTTAATATTAATAGTATTAATTGTATTTTAATATTAATAGTATTAATTGTATTTTAAATTCATTTTTATTTATTTTCAATTCGTTTTCATACCTTAAGGCATGCCCACTAAAAATGCATAGACAAATGACTGTGTTTTTAAAATACTTGAAGTAATTCTCCTTTGTGCGTTTAGGACACCAACACAATTAGTTTCATTTATTCCATTTTGCCTTTGCTTTGGATACATAGTTATGCACCTCATGACATTGCTTCGGTAAACAATGGACCACAATGAATCATGTATGCACTGGTGGTTCCATAAGACTGTAATGGAGCAGGAAAATTCCTATCACCTAGTAACATCATAACTGCAGTGACATCATAGCTGTCTTAATGGTATAGCACAACGCATTACCTATGCAAACCTATGATTAAAAAAGAAACGAACTGAGTAAACCATCATGGACCTATTTCTGAGAAGAGTGACACCTCCTCATAAAGAGCCTCAGGCAGGTCCTTCAGGAAGCATTCCAGAAGGCATTGTTATCATAGGAGATGACAGCTCCACGTATGTTATTACCCCTTAAGACCTTCCAGTGGCACAAGATGTGGAGATGGAAGACACTGATATTAATGATCCTGACCCTGTGTATATGTAGGCTAAAATGTGTGTGTCTTAGGTGGTTTTTTTTAAGCTTTAAAAGAAAAAAATAAATAAATAAATTTGAAAAAATTTGAAAAAGCTAATAGAATAAGAATGTAAAGAAAATATTTTTGTACAGCTGTACAATGTGCATTTTAAGCTAAGTGTTATCACAAGAGTTAAAAACTCAAAAAAACTTTTAAAAAGTGTACAAAGTGCAACAGATGCTGGAGAGGATGTGGAGAAATAGGAACACTTTTACACTGTTGGTGGGAGAGTAAATTAGTTCAACCATTGTGGAAGACAGTGTGGCAACTCCTCAAGGCCTTAGAAATAGAAATTCCATTTGACCCAGCAATCCCATTACTGGGTATATATCCAAAGGACTATAAATCGTTCTACTATAAGGACACACGCACACGAATGTTCACTGCAGCACCGTTTACAATAGCAAAGACCTGGAATCAACCCAAATGCCCATCGATGATAGACTGGACTGGGAAAACGTGGCACATATACCCCATGGAATATTATGCAGCAATCTAAAATGATGAGTTTGTGTCCTTTGTAGGGACATGGATGAATCTGGAGAACATCATTCTCAGCAAACTGACACAAGAACAGAAAATGAAATACCGCATATTCTCACTTATAGGCGGGTGATGAAAAATGAGAACACATGGTCACAGGGAAGGGAGTACTACACACTGGGGTCTATTGGGGGGAATAGGGGAGGGACAGCGCGGCGGGGGGAGCTGGGGAGGGATAGCATGGGGAGAAATGCCAAATGTGGGTGAAGGGGAGGATGGCAGCAAAACACACTGCCACGTGTGTACCTATGCAACTATCTTGCATGTTCTGCACATGTACCCCAAAACCTAAAATGCAATAAAAAAATTACAAAAATTTACAAATAAAAAAAAGTTACAGTGAGCTAATTCATTACTGAAGAAAATGATTTTTTTAAATAAATGTAATATAGCCTAAATGTTTATAAATTCTACAATAGTGTAGCATAATGTCCTAGGCCTCCACATTCACTCACCACTCACTCACTGACTCATCCAGAGCAACTTCCAACCTCTGAGCTCCATTCCTGGTAAATGTCTTATGCAAATGTACCATTTTTTGACTTGTATAGTGTGTTTTTACTGTACCTTTTCTATGTATAGATACACAAACGTTTATCATTGTGTTACAATTGCCTACAGTATTCAGTACAGCACAGTACAGTAACATGCTATACAGGTTTGTAGCTTAGGAGCAATAGCCTGTATTATACAGCATAGGTGTGTAGTAGGTGTATTCTACAGGGATAAAATTGCCTAATGGCATCATTTCTCAGAACACTTGCCTGTCATTAAATGACACATCACTGTATAAGTATTTTTATATCTTGATTATAAGTGTGCACATGTGTGTAGAATATTTACATGGTTCTAAAGTTCTAGCTACAAAACAAAGTAAATTTAGAGAAACCTAACTTCCATCTGTGTCCCCTCTCCTTCCTCTAGGAAATCATTATTAGTGGTTTCTTATTATTTCATTTCTGAAATAAAAGTAAAATACATATTTATATTCTCCCTTTATTAAATAAGAGGTAGAATATTAACTATTCTGCACCTTGTTTTTTTTTTTTCACTTAACAATATAGCCTAAAAATCATTGTATGGAAGTAGACAAATTTCCTACCCCTGTTGGAGCTGCTTAGTATTCCACGGCCTGCATGCACTGTAGTGTTCAACCATTCCTGAGTTGGTGGACATCTGAGTTGTTTCCAGTCTTTAGCTATTGTAGGCAATGCTTCAGTGAACACGTCTTTTCATATTTGTGCCATTGTATCTTTGGTTTTGTATCAGTTAGCTTTTGCTATGTATAGCACACTACCTCAGAACTTGATGGCATAAAGCAACAATCATTCATTAGCTCAAGATTCTGTAGGTCAGCAATTTTGGCAGAGCTCAGTGCTGGCCTTCTGTTGTTCTCATTCATGTGACTGAAGTCAGCTGGCAGCTCAGCTGGAGCTGGATAGTCTAAGACAGACTCATCCGTGTGTCTGGTGTTAGCAGGCTATGAGCCAAAGTTTCTCAAGTGACCTCTCATCCTCCAGCAGGCTACCTAGTACTCATTTATATGGTCTCCTGGCAGTCTCAGGGCTCCAAGCACATCAAGAGAGCCAGCTCAACACCCAAGCACTTTTCAAGCTTCTATGGGCATCAAGTTCACTATTGTCATTTTGATCAAGCAGGCCACATGGACAAGCCCACTGTCAGTAGAAAAGAGGACTAACCAAAGACATGCAAACATGCCTCCCTTCTTCCAGGGGAGGGGTACACTACCAACCATTTGCAAATCATCTACCGTGGAGAGACATTACTAAATGTGGGTGATATGGTTTGGATATTTGATATTTGTCTCCTCCAAATCTCATGTTGAAATATGATCCCCACTGTTGGAGATGCAGCCTAAGAGGAGGTGTTTGGGTCATGATAGTGGATCCCTCTTGAATGGTTTGGCACTTTCTCAGTAGCAGTGAGTTTATGTGAGAGCTGGTTGCTTAAAAGAGCCTGGTATTTCTCTTGCTCCCTCTCGTCATGTAATATACTGGCTCCTCTTCTCTTCCACCATGACCAAAAGCTTCCTGGGCCTCATCAGAGGCTGAGCAGATGCTAACAGCCATGCTTGTACAGCCTGAAGAACCATGAATAAAATATACCTCTTTTCTTTATAAATTACCCAGCCTCAGCTGTTTCTTGATAGAAATACAAAAGGAGTAATACAGCAGGTGACAGGGCAAATTCAAGTGTAAAATTGCCAAATTCCCCCAGATAGAGATTATACAGTTTTGCATCCTCCATAAGTGAATGTTTCTGTTCCAATAGTGTTACCAAGACAGTATGTTTTCTTTTTTCTTTGCTTTTTTTTTATTTTGAGATGGAGTTTCACTCTCGTCACCCAGGTTGGAGTGCAGTAGTACAATCTCGGCTCACTGTAACCTCTGCCTCCAGGTTCAAGCAATTCTCTCCTGCCTCAGCCTCCCAAGTAGCTGGGATTACAGGTGCGCACCACCACACCCAGTAACTTTTTGTATTTTTAGTGGAGACGAACTCCTGACCTCAGGTGATCCACCCGCCTTGGCCTCTCAAAGTGCTGGGATTATAGGCATGAGCCACCGGATCCAGCCAAGAGAGTATGTTTTCAAACTTTCATACTTTTTCCAATCTAAAAGTGAAGAATGGCATCTCAGTGGTATTTTAATTTACATCTTTCATTATAAGTGAATTTGAGCATCTTTTTATATACTTAAGGGCCATCTGAACTTTTTTCTGTGAGCTGTCCATATGTTTTGTCGATTTTTCCATAGTGTGTTTTGTCTTCTCTATTTTTAAAAGTTCATTTTATGTTGGGAATATTAGCTCTTTGTGATATTACACATAATTTTCTTAGTTGTCATTTTATTTTTTAACATGTAAATGTAGTCAAATTGATCAATCTTTCCTTTAATGCTTCTGGACTTTAAGAAAATTTTCTTCATTCTTAATAGATTTTACACATGGTTTTTTCCTGTTTATGTGGGGGTTAGGGAGAGTATCCAGTTATCCCAATATCCAAGAGTCCATATTTTCCCTGTTGATTTGATACCACTACTACTGTACACTTAAATTTGATTAATTGGGTCTGTAATAAGTTGACATTGAAAGTATGACTAATCTCAGGTAAAAATATAGTCAAATTCCACATTTATGTTCTCCATCTTCCCCTCTGCATATACCTCTTTCAAAACTAACTCCAATTCTAGCTCCTCTATGAAGCACCGTCCAATGTCAGCAGCAGCCTCAAGGTTCACTATTGCTGAGTCATAACAGTATGGGCTTCCGTATGTTAGACTTGGTTGTCACCTAATTGTGTGATCTCATGCAAGCTACTCGGTTCTTCTCATGGGAATAACAAAACCTCCCTCTCAGCCTCATTTGTAGGAAACGCACTAGCATAGTACTTGGCATATAGTTAGTGCTCAACAAAGTGTAGGAAGCCCATTAAAGAAGTGGAAGGAGAAGATCCTTAAACAACTGAGGAGAAAGAAAAGCAAAGACCTGACATGCATATGACTCAGAAATGTGGCGTTCAATACAGAAACAACTCTGTTGGCAGTGATAACGTGTCATGTGTTTGTGTACATATGCGCACTTGCACACACACTGGGAAAGAACACATGACTAGGTCTTTTTAGTTTCACTCAGGAATGCTTCCTTGTAGACTCGGGGTGGGGGTTGGAGTGGGAGGAGGGAGGGTCTTTGCTTGACAAGTAACTTACACTCTCTGGCTATGCCAATTCCGAATGCCAACCTAGGAGGACAAAATCCTGAGAAGGCACTTCAGCTCAGTTCATGCCTTAAGAAAATCAGAGCTTAAGAATCAATATGTGCTGAAGAACTGAGCATCAACCGGTGAACACTGAAGTTCCAGGATACCCCCTCTACTCCTGGCACTCTATCTCTGAGGACTTCATATCACGCCCCACCACAGTCTTATTCTCTTGCTTAGAGCTGTTCAGGGCAGAGGAGTCGTGTGCCAACTCTTTTCAGCCAGTCCTTAGAAGTCACGGCCTCCTTCATTTCAGCAGTTTCTGCCCCAGATGTCAAAGATGACAGGTGTAAATCCTGATGGAAAAAAAAGAGCTGGAGCTAAGTTGAAACAGGAAAAGAATAAAGTACCAAGATCTTGGAACTACATTTAGGATACATGAGGGAGCTAAGTTTGGCTGTACTGTGGCATAGTTGAGAGTTATAAAACTTGGAGAAATCTAGAGATGACTTTGGCACGTATGAAATTTTCTTTTCAGATAAGAATGTTTTTAAAGTATCAGAAGAGTGATGGAAGCTGCGGCCATGGAAAGAGAGATTGACTGGGGAAGGCACATGAGAGACTTTTAGAGTGACAGCAGTGTTCCATATCTTGATAGAGGTTGTTATACAAGCCTAGTTAGGCATTTGTTAAAACTTACTAATGCACACGTAAGATTTGTACATTTCTTTGTAAATTTTACCAAAAAAACGGAAAAATACTGAAGTCTAAATAGGCATGTTGCAATATTTAGGGAAAATTGTACCGATGTCTGTAGTTAACTAAAACTGTATTAAAAATGTATTAACGGCTAGCTGGGCATGGTGACTCATGCCTGTAATGCTAGCACTTCAAGAGGCTGAGGCCGGAGGATCACCTGAGCCCAGGGGTTCAAGACCAACCTGAGGCAACATGATGAACCCCTTCTCTACCAAAAATACAATAATTAACTGGGTGTGGTGGTTCCCCGCTGTAGTCCCAGCTACTCAGGACCCTGAGGTGAAAGAATCGCCTCAACCCAGAAGGCAGAGCTTGCAGTGAGCCAAGATCGCACCACTGCAGTCCAGCCTGGGTGAGAGAGAGAGAGACTCTGTCTCAAAAATAATAATAATTAAAAATGTATTAATAGGATGCACAGATATGTGATAGTGGCAAAATCTAGTGGTATGTAGATGTGTACACTAAAATTCTTTCAACATGGCTATATATTTAAAATTTTTAATAAAATCTTGGGAAGTTATCCAATACTATAGTTATCAGAAGCCAATAAATTACTCCACACCTCTGGGTGCATAGCAATCCCGAGGGCTGTCACTGGGAACACAGAATTCCTTCCAGTGTGCCCTCTGCCTGGCTCTAAGCAAGCCACTGACCTCCTTTCCAACACAAACCTGGACCCACAAGTTCTCTGCACTTTCATCATGTTGTCCCTGCCTGACAGAGGTGAATGAAAAACACCACAGTGTACTCAGCTAGTGGGCAGAGCTTTGTAACGAAGACCCAACCCTACATGCTGTCATGGTAAATTGTCAGCATAAATGCTTTTCTGTGCCCAGAGAAGACAAGAAAAACTTGGTTTGATTGTTTAAAAAAGAACATAATTGTAATAATTCATATATATTGTTTAATATTTCAGATTTTAAATTATAGAAGATTGTTTTCTAATAATGACACGGAGAAATGAACAGTATTTTCTTATTTCCGATGCTGATGGGGAAAGTGCTTAACATTTGTTGAGCCTTAGATACAGAGCAGATATTTTGCATACATTAGGTCACACAGTCCTCCTAACAGTACGAGTACCTAGCCCCACTATCATTTTACAACGAGGTTCACAGTCTTGGAGCCAGCAAATAATAAAATCAGGACTCAACCCAAGATCTCCTCAGCCCAAAACCATGTTCTTTTTCACTGAAGCACATTCTGGCATTTAAAATAGGTTATGTTCTGCAAAGTTCTGTGAAGCTCAACATAACTACAACAGCAGCAGAGTCATTTGGCCAGGATTTTACAATTACCATTGGGTAAGGGAATAAAATTTGTAAGGGCAGTGTCATGTTCCACTTCAATTGTCTTTACCAAACCACCATTCACCAAAAGGCATTTTTAACAGGTTACACTTCTCACCAACAATATTGACAAATGTAATGAGAATACAAAACTTGGCAACCTTTCCCATATTTCCTATGGCTTTAGGGGCAGTTCAGGGTTTAATCTACTTAACTGAAATTTAATGTCAGTGTTGATTGTTCATAAACTAGTACTAAACAAATGGCCCAACTGCCCCTTAATGATTTTCCATATCATGCTTACACTATCAGGCAAAAATTACTTTCAATGGAATAGCACTGTTTCCCCACGTGTTAAACTAAGCCAGATTTCTAAACAGACAAACTATGCAGTAATGACCCAGTAGATGGCACTAGTTGTACCGACTACCTTGTTTTTATTCAAGTAGCCCGGCAATAGGTCAGTTTGTTTCCTACCAGGGCTACAACCATTAGTGAAGATTAGAAAAACATGGCACTCAAATTACGCTTTCCATGTTAACGTGTAGAAAATATTCATTGTAGTCACCTCTCTGTATCGAACAGGACTGAGATCTTTATGTGGAAGACGAAGGGTGGTTTCTGTACGTATTTTCAAAAATATTTTTGAGCTTTCCAACTCAACTACTTTTCAATTTGGCCAGCCTTCTTTCATATAATAAAGTAGGGAACTGAGGGACAGGAGGAAGGCAGAGGAGGCCGAAAACAGGAATTTGCTGAGATGAGCAACAATTAACTCTAATTTTCAAAAACTTAGAGCAAAAAAAAAGCATTTTATCTTGATAGGCTCCAAGGAAGTCATGTGACCTCCCTATTAATATCTGATCTTAGCATTGACGTATAATTTAATTTTATTTGAACCTAATTCAAAATTTTCAATGCCCACATCCAGAGGCCTAACTGAACCTCTTATTCTGCTTGGGGCTATACGCTTTACCCAACTATTCTGCCCTCTGGAGCCACATTAAGTACAACTTGTTTTACAACCCAAAACTTCAACATGTATCAGCCTCAAAAAGGTAAAAGAAACTGAGAAAACATATGTATATAATTTCACTACAAAGGGAGAGTGCAAGGGCAGGAGGCAAGCAACTTCAGGATTTCAAGTGCCGGTCTCCCAAACGTACACTAATGTTATTAGTGCAGAGGTGCCATATGAACTTTTGACAAGTTCCGGGGAAGTCTCATGTACATGGTTTCTAAATCCATTAAGAATTTTATTCAATGTATTTAATATACACACCAAGAAACGAGACTACCCTATGCTGAGCAGCATGAATTTTGATGGAATGAAGACATAAAACTTAAATTTCTGATTGGAAATAACAGGTTTTTTAAAATGTCACTAGCCCTTCAACAGAGGTTGAGACATATTGTGGGGGTGTGACCAGCGGTGTGTCAATAAACTCTCAAGAGACCTGTGCTCTTTTACAGTCAACAATGATCATCCAAGCCTTGGGTTGACATGTTCGCAAAGCCTGGGGAGCAGCAATAAAACTGTTGAGTTGTTGATCAAGACTTCCCTAAAGGCTTAAACGAAATGTCCACTAGTCAAACTTCTTAAAATGTCTGTCTTCACATCACTGGTTATCTCACAGTAAAATCTCTTAGTATTATCTCTAGGTCTAATGTCAACATGGAAAAAAGCTGGTCATAAACCAGACTTGATTTCCCCTTTTCTTACTCTGTGATCTATACTTTGAGAAACATCAATAGATTATTTTAGTTCAGAAACTTGGAGTAATTTGGTTACAATATTTGAACTCCAAACTGAGGAAGTTCCCAGTAAAGCAAACTCTGAGACATTTCGATATAATTTAAATATACCTGAAAAGTAAAATGTTTTTCTAGCTTCTCCCTCAGGGCGTAAACCACACCATTCATAACAGTGCTATTTTCCAAAGGTCACAATTAGATTTCCTCAGAAGCATACCTGAACTGTTAATCATTACAACTCTTTTGTGAAATATGGGACTGGTTAATTACCCAGTATAATCACTGGTTGAAACCTAGGCACACAAGTTTTCAAACCCAGTGGAGGCAGCCTACCACTGTACCCCTACCCCAACCTGTACCCTTCTTACTGCCCATACTAGAGAACTATGATCTTCTTTTTCCACTAGAAATGTTCAAACTTTCATCAGGTAAGGGATAAAACAGAGAAGGAACAGAAGATCATATATGTATACATATTAGTAATAGGACAAGTAAGCTCAGTAAGGTTAGAGAGGACTTGTTTGGGGGAATTCCATGTTGGTACTGCCTCTTATCATGTTCAGTTTGCTGTTTCTAGAATGCTTTATATACATTAGAAGAACTTAAGAGTCATTCTGAGCCTAAAATGGCTTGGAGCAAATAGCCAGTATGTTACCACCACCAGAAAATGTCAGTCATTTCAGTAACTAAACTGAAATGTTAGATCTGTATGTCTTCAGACTGATGTAAAGCTTGTACCTTCTGAGAAAACATTTTAGGGCCATTTGCCTACTTTCCTATACTTTAGAAGTTCTCATATCATAAATTAGAACTTTAATCTTTTATTAACTTCCTATCTGTTTTTAGCATCTCTCCCTTGCATTACTCAACCTAACAAATTAAACACTCATTTAAAATGCTAAATGATAAAAATACAAATGACAAATAGTACTGCACATATTGATTATCCTCAAGTTAAATGGTCATCAAAGTTAAAAGTACAAAGACTATAGGGACAAAGTATAAAGCACTGGTACACTAGGAAAAACTGAGTGTGTAAATACCCATGGAAAGCATACTGTAGCCATCCCTGCTAAATATTATCTGGCTTTATGGATTTCATCTTTCAGTTTTGTATTAGAGCTACTTCTCCTAGAACCTGCCCAAACAAGAAGGAGCAAGCTGATCTGATAAGACTTTGATCCACCCCAGAACTGCTTTGTAGAAATGATATGGGGAACCCAATTCTGGTGGGGGATATTTTGATACTAATTGGTTTTTGTTTTCAGTAGGTGTTTAAACTTATTTCAAAGTTGATAGCTGCAAGCACCAGGAAGGAGGAAGGTAGAAAACTTTCTTCCTCTTAACTTCTTGAGGAGTGTGTTCCAGTAGGCTGGTAAGGCCAAATATTCATTATGGATTGTGACTCACTTTGCTTTGATTTTGGAGACTTCCCTTAAGAAAAAAGAAATTTGTTAATAAATGACAGAAACACAATAGTTACAATATTGAAGCAAGTGTCAATCACAAAAGTAAAAGCTTAGGTCTTTCTCTATTTAATAACATGTTAAAGCAGAGGTCCCCAACTCCTAGGTTAGTTATCAACTCTGGCCTGATAGGAACAGGACCACCCAGCAGGTGAGTGGCGGGCGAGGGAGCCTTACTGCCTGAGCTCTGCCTCTGGTCAGATCAGTTAGTGGTGGCATTAGATTCTCATAGCAGCACAAACCCTATTGTGAACAGCATATGCAAGGGATCTAGGTTGCATGCTCCTTACAAGAATCCAACCAATGCCTGATGACCTGAGGTGGTAGAGTTTCATCCCAAAACCATCCCCCCATCCCATGGAAAAACTCTCTTCCAGGAAATGTCTCTGGTGTCAAAAAGGTTGGGGACCACTGTGTTAAAAGGTAACAATACTTTCATATTGAATTCTGCATTTTTTCCTACTCTTAGGGTATAAGACAACAAATATTTGACTGCTTATTATGTGTCAGAAGTCATTATAATTACTTACATGGAAATCTTAAACAACTCTAGAAGGATACTGTTACTTGTTTTCATAGTTGTGGAACCAAAGGATTAGAGGTTTCAAGTGTAATAACTCACCCAACATCACAGGTGAGGAGACAACGGGGCCAAGATTGGAAGCCCAGAACTGCATACCTGACAGTATTTTAATTTTCTAAAACTCTAAAATTTCTTCTATAAAATCACCTTTAATGCCATATGTCCCACAAATAAAGTGATAAAGTGTTGCTCCTATCTTAAATAAAACAATCATACACTAATTTGTAGTGTTTTTTAATTCTAAACATCTACCATCTTATGAAATATACTCTCTATACCAATCCTTAGATAACTTCTTTTGAGGTATTCTGTAATGTGAAAATCTTAAGAAAACATTAATCACAAAGCTGAATTAACTATAATTGTTAATATGCATATGAATAAAGGAAAAAAGATTCTATAATTTTTGTAACCCAGTTACAAAAGTACTATAGACCATAAATAAACTTGTGAAGATTATTTGGTATTTTGTCTACCCCTTAACACTTCCCACAGTGCCTAATACATAGGGTGTACTGAAATATGTTAAGAATACACTAAATTAGAACAAACTGTCTGGCACAACTTTTTATATTCAAGTGTTATGGAGTTTTCAGAAAACAAAATCTACTTATTTTGTGATCTGAAGTAGGGAAAAAAACAAAGCAACAAATGCAGGGCTAAGTAACCATGAGGTTGATGCCATCACTACAACAGCCGTTAAGATGTACTGGCTCTCCACTGTAAGTCATTGAAAGAGCAAAAATTAAGTAGGTTTGTTAACATTAACACAAGTTTTATTCAAGAGATAATATTCAAAAAGAGTTAAATCCTAAGTTCTCCACCCTATGGTAAAAAGGGAAGTGGGTACCACTTATGACATGTACATAAATTCCACCTTTACATTTCTGAATAAAGCCATTTCTTAAACTTCCCCTAATAAGGCTATGTGAACCGTGTTCAGAAACTTTAATAACACACACACACTAACGCCTCTCAAAGTTAGCACCCAGGATTTTTACTCCAGGCTGAGTACTAGGACTTAAGACTGCATGTTACTGTATGAATTCAATTTGACTCACCTCCAGTATGTTCACAATTATTTTTTAAAATAATCAATGTTTGTATTAACTCCCTCAAATTATACTTCAATATTTAACATGGTTTCAAAAATAAATATTCAAGGCCCCAGTTTCAATCTTCTTCCAATATAATCCACAAAGCTGATATTGATAATACATACTAGGAACACTACTCTAAAATAAACGTAGCTTTCTTTTAAAAGTACTTGTTGCAAATATAGATCACATTCTATTCCAAATTCTCATAAGAAATATGTTTCTTGGTAATACAACAAAAATTTAGGACGAGTCAGTCCTTAGAAAATCTTAATGGCAGTCACTCAATGAAGTCAATCATTCTGAGAGCCACAAACACTCAAAACTTACAGCTAGCATTGACAAGTTCTTGTGTTTTTTGATGGTTATTGCTTTAGTTGGCAATATCTGAATATAAGACAAAAGAACTGCTCCCATTAAGCCTTGTGTTAAATATTACAAAACGTACACAGAAGATAGACTCATAGAGGCTATAAAGCTGATGTCTTAAGTAACTCACCCATGAAATGGGTGCAGACTTTTTAGAGGCTATCCAACAGTCTTTTTGCTCTAAAAATAAATGACCCTACTTTTCAGTGTTCCCATTCTTCAATAGGAGACTTGAGCAGCTTAACAGTTTTGCTATAAAAACAAACCATTCTTCTTAACAAACCAAGAATACAAAAGGAAATCCAATAAAGGACATACTTTTCACAGTTAACAATAAATAAAAGTGCAATAAGTGTTCAAGTAGGGCATGTAGTATAAAAACTACATGTGAATATTGGGCCTAGGTCATCTTTTAAAGGCTCTCCGAGGGTCCCTGCCACTACTTATTGTGGTCGTCACTGTTTGATTATTAGCTGTTCCTGGTAGTTGTGGATTTCTAAGTCCCCAGCCATTGCTTCTGCCAGCATGTGAAAACTGGTGTCCCCTTGATTCAGGGCCAGTGTGAACACCATTTCCTAAAAAAGAATACAAAAATCCATCACTGTTTGCAGAAGTCCACAGTCATCTATAGAAGTACAGCTATCTTAAGTTCCAACACGTTACTAATGCTTAAAAATACTAGGTGAAGCATATACTTTTATTTTTATACTGAAACGAAACAAAACAAAGCACTCAATGTGGGCGCTGTTTTTCCAAATGCATTGCTATAGATATGTTAGTTTGATGCTGTAGTAATAGAGAGGAAAAAAGTCAACTTGGGCATCAAAATTAGAAAGAGTTAAAAAATGCCCTGCCTACACTATAAAAGAAAAACGCAAGGCTGGGCGCGGTGGCTCAAGCCTGTAATCCCAGCACTTTGGGAGGCCGAGGCAGGTGGATCACGAGGTCAGGAGATCGAGACCATCCTGGTCAACATGGTGAAACCCCGTCTCTACTAAAAAATATACAAAAAATTAGCTGGGCATGGTGGCGCGTGCCTGTAATCCCAGCTACTCAGGAGGCTGAGGCAGGAGAATTGCCTGAACCCAGGAGGCAGAGGTTGCCGTGAGCCGAGATCGCGCCATTGCACTCCAGCCTGGGTAACAAGCGCGAAACTCCGTCTCAAAAAAAAAAAAAAAAACGCAAAATAATGTTTTGAGTATTGGAATTTGGCTTAAATATGATTAATATTTCAAAACAGACAATGTTATTCTAACTTTTTAAAGGGAAAGAAAGCGTTTCCCACAATGTGATCAGCTGTGCCAAAATGTGTAGCCTTCAAGTCAAATAAAACATTAGCTGGCCAGGGGCAATTGCTCACGCCTGTAATCCCAGCACTTTGGGAGGCTGGGGCGGGTGGATCATTTGGGGTCAGGAGTTCCAGACCAGCCTGGCTCATATGGTGAAATCCCATCTCTATCAAAAACACAAAAATTAGCGGGGCGGGAGTGGCACACATCTGTAATCCCAGCTACTGAGGAAGCTGAGGCAGGAGAACTGCTTGAGCCTGGGAGGTGGAGGTTGCACTGAGCCAAGATCAGACCACTGCACTCCCGTCTAGGCGATAGAGTCTCAAAAACAAAACAAAAACCAAAACATAAGCCATCCTAATGAACTCCGATCACAAAAGACTCCTCCTCAGATATTTAAGAAAAAAGACTTCAAAAGATCTTTAACAGGGCTACAAGGACCATGACCATGACATCTAGGGGTCATGTTAAATGACATTTGAGGGTCACTAGCCTTTAAAGGGCTCGGCTCATATTTTAAAGTAGCAGCTCCTAGTACATGAAAAATTAAAGTGAATATGACTCTAAACATAAAGGCTTTCAGTGCACCAAAATAACCAGCAATTCTGCATTTACTATAAGTACTCACTAGATTACAGAAATTTTGTAGAAATCAATTTTAGAAAAAATAACATGGTATCTCTTCACAGACATCACCAAAACTTAAGACTTCTCAATAAACTGGCTTAAGAGTCTGTCGGCTTTCTAGAAAATCAGCCATTCAGGGATTCCGTTTACTGGTAGTTCACCTTTATCACTAATTTATGCCTAAAGACGTTTTTCATCTCAATCTTTCTAACTCTCTTTAATTCTTATAGCTGATCACAAATGAAACACACAAACAAAATCTTACCCACTGGTCCAAATGTACCTGTACCCATATTACTACTCATGGAATTATTCTTCTGTTCACTCTGTGCCTAAAAAAAAGTTTGTAATTTAACCAAATGAGAATAAAAACACAATTATATTATTACAACATTATTATATCCTTTCTTTATTAAAGTTTCGGATTTTTTTAATTAACAAATTTTTAAAAGATTTTTCCTAGGTCCTTCAAGGTTAAAATGTTAAATGTTTTCCAGGCCTTTCAGAACTCTGTTACATCCTATTTCCTGAATAACTCACCACTCCCCAAAGTCCTAAATGGCATATACGTATCTAGTAAATGATAGCTCAGATAAATGTACTCACAAAACATCTAATAAAAATTACTTTATGTATTCTTTTAAAAATTCTCTTCATTATACTATCAACAGGACTAGCCTAGTCATAGAATTATAACACAGTCAAAAATTGGCCTAATCATAAAAGTATACACAATTACCCCTTTGTTCTGCTGTCCTCGATAACCTGGGTTGGGTTCACTGAAATTTGGCACTTCTGAATAAACCATACAAAATCTGAAAGAAAATAAAGAACAAATTAAATAACTTCCGAAATAAAGTAACCAACCCTTCTTTATATAACATCTCTAGCTTTTAGGACTGAAAAACTTATGTGTCAAACAAATTAAGAGCAACAAACTCACTCTTCATTTACAACAAAAACTTCCTAAACAATTATGTCCCATAAAAACATCAATATTTGACTGTCTACAAGATATATAACATTCTATTTTGTATTTAAATTCTTTAGCGCTGAAAAAAATAAATCATATCAAAACTCAAGGACACAAAAACATCTCTGTCCTATTTTTCCACAAAAGTTGATCAAAGGAAAAATAACATGAGAGTGAACCATGTTTAGGGTTCCAGGATGGTTTCTCCAGCAGTGGTAATGGATTTGCACAGATCCATCACCCACTCCCATTCAGTTCCTCTTTTGATCAATCACTGTGGATCTGCAAAGATAATCATTTAGGGTTAAGAGTGGTTTCTAGGCAATAAATAAAAACAACAGGTTACACAGTCACCAGTTTATCCAAGGGCTTCTTGTAAGTTGGCCATATGATGTGTAGTAGCATTACACAGAAGAGTTTTATTAGCTCCTCACCCTACTGAAGACAAATCAGAACCAGTTTGGGTAAATCGTAGACAGATCCTGACAAAGAGCAGTCATTAAGAAATGAGTTATCTCTAATAGTTCTTCATATAACTAACCTCTGTTATTATCAACACCTCTGTATAAATACATTAAGGTCAGGACAGAATCCCGAACCTTTCAGTAACAGACACTAAGACCTTTCCTAACACATAACCCTATTAATACTACTCAAAGTGAATCCTTACTTTTCCTCTAACAAAGGGAAAGTGTTAAACTTTTCTGATCTTTAAAACCTAGCATGATCATTTCTTTTCCTTCATTATTAACCACAGGTTCTCCAAATAAGTATTTTATTCCCTCAGTGCAAAAAAAAGTTTTCGTTTTTTTATTTGGTGCCATTTGTGGCTTCTCTCTATAAATATCTTCCAATTTGACAGGCATTAAGCAGATGGCTGAGCATTAACCAAACAGAATGGACTGATGATTTGGCTCATTGCCTATACCGTACTTTATGAATACAACCCAATGTCTAGGCTAACATGGAGGCTGAATTACCTTACACCCCTAGAGAGGATGGCTCCTCCAGGTCAGGGTGGAGATCATTACCCAGGTAGTAGTGTATGGAATCTCCCATTGCGGCTGCCTGCACCGCACCTAGACTGTGGATAAATAGAGGACTTCAGTTTTCATCGCTGCAAGTCCTTTTAACATGAGTACATATTCACCCATAACCACAGAAAAAGAAAATTTAAACTTATGGCCTGAAACTTGGTGAATCAAAGCTTTGTATTTAGTGAATCACTAGAAGAGAGAATCTACTTCAAATGGCACTTGTGACACCTAAAAATGCACATTTCTAAAGCCTTCAGGAATAGGGTTGGTCTCAACTGCAACTTCCTCAACCGCTCTTTGCCAGGAAAAATTGACACTTTCAACCATAGAAGACACTACTAACAAGTGTTAAACTTGTACACACAAAATTATTTTTTCAATTAAGCTACCAAAAACATTCAGTTTACTAGTCAAAAAAGCCAAGGAAGAGGTTTACAGTTTATACCTACCAATTATTCTGTAGATTTTATAATGTATGCGATTATACAAATGAATTTTAATACTTACTCCCCAATTTTTTGAAGTTCACCACCTCTTCCAGTATAAAGTGTCAGACATCCTTTCCACATGGATGCATACCTAGAGAGAAAATAAACGTTCTTTAGAATTATGTTTATTTTCTTCTATTTAAATCAAGTAAAACTTCACACTATATATTTTTTGCATTAAGGTGGAAGTGAAGTTCAAGCCCTCTCTGTCCACCATAGTAAATTAAATACAATAAATCTAACTTTGATAACTTGCTATTTACAAAAGAATACAAAACTTCTGTTGAATTTTAACATAATTATCTAAATTATAACAAACCCTAAAAAATAAGTCTCTTTCCAAAGCAAGCATTATTATGCCCAATGATTTAGTTAATTTTAGTCAATTAACAAAAGAAAAGCTTTTAATTGGAGAAATTAAACAGAAACTATTTTTCAGCCACAGAATATGTAAACACCCTAATGTTTTTACAGGCATTTACTGTCTAGTCAAATACTGATTTAACAGTTTTCCTTCTGCCCTCATAAAAGACACAGGATTCCTCAGCTACCAAAGATCTGGTAGAATTTTAGAGTGCTAAATAAAAAAAACTAAGGTCACAAATCTTTTACCTATCTGCCTTTCCAAACATGCAATTTTTAATACAACGTTGGCTTTGTAGTAAACAAGCTGGCAATTGTTTACTCCGACAACATTGAAAGCAGACAGCATCATTAAATAAAATAATCCCATTTATCTTTAAAAAAAGAAAAGGTAAGTTAATACTGTAAAATCAATAAAGGTTTGATTATAATGGTTCTTTGTATAACTACTATGGTAACTTCATGACTAACTTATTATACAGTTCTTTATTTTAATAAGGGTTATTTATTAAAGACACCATTCATCACTCTTAAGTTATATAAAGAGTGGCTTAGGAGACAGTGCATTAACATTTCACCTTACTAAAATAAAAATAAATGCATATTTTGAGAAAAATTTGAATGTTACAATTAAAATATTTAACATTCACTTTAAGAAATGAGAACACTGAGGTAAGTTTGTAAGATATCCTGATAAGCATGTTGATATTTGACCTAAGCATTATTTAGATGTTAGGTATGTTTTCCTTCAAAGCTACTTTTCTTAGATTCAACTAGAATTTAAGGGCCTTAGAATGGGCCAGACCCCAAGCTGAGTGTGTTATTTTAGTAAATAAGGTATAATTATTCCCATTTCACAGAAGCGGAAGCTGAAGAATGAGGTGTAGTAACTTCTCAAGTCATACTGAAGTAGTTTTCTATTTTCCTTTAAATTGTACTCCCAGGTAAAAATTTTCTCCTTAAAATTCTGTAGATACCATAACTAGTTTAATTTTCCAATAATTTTTTTGATGGAAACATCTACGACTGTGACTACAGAACATGAAATACTTGAAGTAAGATGCTGTTTTTTGGCATAAAAATACTTTAAATCATTGGATGAAAGATATTTGGGGAGCCAAAATCTCCAACTATAGTAATCAATCCTCACCATACCTCCCCAAGTAGGAATTCTCTTTTGTTTTTTATAGATGCGGAAGTTTAAAAAACATAATTACTGTCATGAGTCAGTGTATGAGAAGAAAATGTCTAAGTCCTGACTCTCACTTCCTGCTTTGATGACACTTTACCTCACTTCCTGAAGATGTTGTAAGGCCTGTAAGGTAACAACCAGGAGCTCTAAGCTCATACTCTCAGTGCTTTCCAATACTTCTGAGATTCTACTTATTAGGCCAACATCAATCTCCACCACTTTCCCTGCAGTTATGATAAATTATTACAATTTTATTGATCTCAAAAGCTCTCAAATTCTGTTTTCAAGACTCTTTTCTGACCTTTTATCTTCCTAAGATAAACATTTGGTAAATTTCTAAAAGCAATCTATTTTTAAAAAAAAAAAAAACGTAAATTTTTTTTTTGTAAACTATTTTTTAAAGCCACCAATCTGCCAACTGACTCTTGGGTGAAGGTACCGAAGATTTCTTTCTGCCAAACATTCTCTGTGTATCCTTTTGGTTTTTGTACAATATCCACCTTACAACAGAAGACACAAGAAATCATTTTGGACAATGAGCCTTCCAGATACTGTAAACTTTCCCTCTTTCTCCAAGTACAAATTTGACATATCACAGAAAATGCTAAATCCTTTACCTATAATTCTATGTCCACATTGTCTAGGTAACATAAATAAAATACTGGACAGGATTTCAAGTCATTAAAAATGGAGGCGGGATGGGAAACAAATGAGTGGGTAAAATAACTTATAAAAAAGAAAAAATATGGACTATAACAATCTCCTAAAAAGACTCCTTGACTCAATAGAATTAAAAATCTATGTTGGGCGTGGTGGCTCACGCCCATAATTAAAGCACTGTGGGAGGCCAAGGCCACCGATCATTTGAGGTCAGAAGTTGGGAGACCAGCCTGGCCAACATGGTAAAACCTAGTTTCTACTAAAAATACAAAACTTAGGCAGGCGTGGTGGCGTACGCCTGTAGTCCCAGCTACCAGGGAGGCTGAGGCACGAGAATCTTGAACCTGGGAAGAAGAAGCTGTAGGTGGCCCGAGATAGCACCACTGAATTCCAGCATGGAAGACAGCGAGACACTGTCTCAAAAAAAAAAAAAAAAAGAATTAAAAATCTACTTAACCGGTAAACCAGGGTGGAGGCATGGATTTCCCATCTGAAACCGACTGCCTTTCACTACAAAAGTGTGTTTCATCCTAGCGCTGTCCACCATCCAAAGTTAACACCAAAGGAGTGGCCCACATAAAAAGCGGGGAACTCCAGGGTTTGCCAAGATCCCTGGAGCCAACCAATCCCTATTGTGCAGACTGTTACGTTCCCCGACTTTTTTGCACACCTACCCTCTGGTCAACCGAATAATATCCCCTGGCTGGATAAGACCTCCGATCTCATCCCACACGGAAATAGTGATGCTGCCCGTTTTATCTGCTACTTTGCACGATCTCACTTCATGGCCGTCTTTGGTTTTGGTCACGCGTCCTGCGAGGATTTAAAAATCAAAGGGAGCGGGTGTTAGATAATGAGGACATCCAGAAAGGCTAAGTCCTTTTCCGGTGTTTTAATACATCTGGAGGGTGGGAAGTAACCAGGGCTCTCGCCTCTGGTAGGATCCGATCTCGGGAGAAGGCCACTGAAGCCACGTGGGTGGGGGAGGGGGGAGGGGAGCCCTCGACGCGTAGCGGCGGCGCCCGTGTCTCCCGCCCCAGGACGCACGGCGGGCGGTGGAGTGGGCTGCAAACCCCACTTACCTATCTCCAGGACAATAAAGACGACATTTAAGTTTTTCAGTCCGGGCTTAATATCTCTTATAAAAATAGGTGGGTCGTTGACCCTATTCATATTGGGGCAGGTGCGGCTACGGCTGCGGAGACGCGAGTGGGCAGGGCGGGGTCAAAGCTTCCCACCCTCCCGGGCCAGGGGCGAGGGCAGAGGGGCGACCTTGGGCAGGGGTAGCGAGAGAAGGGGCAGAAAGCAGTTAGTCAGGGACCGGGGAAACCAGCCCGGACGGCACTGAGCCTAAAAAAAGAAAAAGAAAAAAAAAAAAGCGCTCACAAGTTCAAAAGAAAAAAAAGGCGAACCACTCCGCACACCAACCCCGCTCCCAACCGGGCGACAGGAAGGCAAGCGTGCGAACTGCCCCGTTCTTTGCATAAAAGGAAGAAAAAAACGCAGTGAGGGGACACTTCTGCCCTGAGTCCCGCTCACTCACACGGATGCGCGCCCAGCCCGTCCCGGGCTCCGGGAAGGAACTGGCTGTGACTGCGAAACCTGAGCGGAGACAGAACCCCCGCACGCCCAGCGTCCCAAACAGCGACTGACGAACGCGCCCGCGCGCCGTCTAGACCCCCGTCCGGGCCCGCCCCTTGTGATGTCACGCTGCGTCGGCACACCCGCCGCCACGCCCGCCTGGTTCGGGGGAAGGGAAGCGAAGGGGCGGGAACCTGCCGCAGCAGCCGGGGGAGCTTCCCTGCTCCTCCCGCGGGCTGTCGGCGCGGGGTCCGCCCCCCGCGTCCTTCCAATCGCTCTCGGCCCCGCCTCTCCCCCCCACCCCCCCCCCCGCCCGCTCTCCGCCCACTTCGCCCACCGCCTCAAGTCGTCAGTTCTGTCTCGCCTCGCCTTCCTGTTGCGGTCTTCTGCGTCTCAGTCTCCAACTTTCGAGTTTTCTTGCCTTTTTTTGCTCTGAGTTGAGTCCCTACCGGGTCCTTTAGATCCGCGGTCACGGGGGACGGTGGAGTTTAGAACCTGTGAGTACATTAGAAAGTGCGCAGATGAGTAAGAATCGGGTTCGGACAAGGGCGGCTGGTCTGGGACCCAAGGAAAACAGGCTGTGATGGTGAAGGGGTCCTTGGCTACGAGGCTGAAAGTTTAGCACCAGAAAAGAATTTGGAGATCAATTCAACCACCCATTTCAGGAATACTTAAGTTGAAATCCAGAAAGATGAGGTAATTTACCCAAGGTTACCCAGCAACCCGTGAGCAGGCAGGACTGCAACACAAATGTCGGACCTGGCCTTCCACTGTGTAATACTAAGCAGATAGACACGTAAATACCTTTGCAGGCTTCTCATTTTTCCTTACCCCCTCACTCTCAGATCACACACCTTCCCCATTTTGCTTTTCTTCTTTTATTTTGCACTTGATTTTGTACATCTACAAGGAATTATTCAACGGCAGTGGAAACGTTTGAAACATTATAATCTGAAAAATCAATAAAGTTTTCTATGTCGTGTGGTGAAAAGAGCATGTGCTTTAGAGACAAACCTAGGCTCCAGCTATTTACTAGTGAGACCTTTAGGACAATTGGCTTTTCTTACGATAGACATAATAAAATGGGGATCCCTGCCTCGAAGAGGATTGATTAAATAGACACTAAGTATTTTGCCCTTTTTTTTTTTTGAGATGGAGTTTTGCTGTTGTTACCCAGACTGGAGTGCAATGGCAGGATCTCAGCTCACTGCAACCTCTGCCTTTTGGGTTCAAGCAATTCTCCTGCCTCAGCCTCCCGAGTAGCTGGAACTACAGGCGCACACCACCATGCCCAGCTAATTTTTGTATTTTTAGTACAGACGGGGTTTCACCTTGTTGACCAGGATGGTCTCCATCTCTTGACCTCGTGATCCACCCGCCCCGGCCTCCCAAAGGGCTGGGATTATAGGCGTGAGCCACCGCACGCGGCCCTCAATTTTTTTTATTTTGTTAATGAGAGCTTGTTATGTTGCTCAGGTTGGCCCTGAACTCATAGCCTCGCCTCCTCAAGCACCAGGACAACTGGCCGGAGCCACCGCGGCTCCCTATTTTACCCTTTCTTAATTCGCGTTTTACAGGTGATGAAACTCACCAGAGCCTACATAGCTAGAGAATGGCCGAACTGGGTCTTAAATCTAGTCAATCTTGACCCCAGAGCTCTTTAGTCTAAAGGTAATGTTTAGACTTAACTTGCAGTGGTTTAATTATGAGTCCAGCTGGGCGCGGTGGCTCACGCCTATAATCCCAGCACTTTGGGAGGCCGAGGTGGGTGGATCACGAGGTCAAGGGATCGAGACCATCCTGGTCAACGAGGTGAAACCCCATCTCTACTAAAAATACAAAAATTAGCTGGGCATGGTGGTGTGCGCCTGTAGTCCCAGCTACTCAGGAGGGTGAGGCAGGAGAATTGCTTGAACCCAGAAGGCGGAGGTTGCGGTGAGCCCACATCGTGCCATTGCACTCCCGTCTGGGTAACAACAGCGAAACTCTGTCTCAAAAAAAAAAAAAAAAAAAAAATCCAAAACAGACTGAAGAAATAAAATAGTAGCATTAGGATAAAGTAGGGCATTAAAGAATCATCTAGTTAGCTTTTGGTGGAGGTAACAGAAATGTTGGGAAAAGTGTCAGAAGCCTTAATTTTTTCCCCATTCTTTATGAGTAGTTTTAGATCAACCACCAGTTCTCCAATATTTGCAAATAAACAGCATAGATACTGTAGCCCTAGAAAGAGTTGCAAAAATTATCACATTAGCAAGAGAGTCAAGGCATTTTTAAGGAAACAGAAGCTTCCATTTCATGAACTAATAAAGCCCACGGTGCCAGAAACACTGATGTCATACTGGAAAGTGGTGTAAAATAAAATTATAAGCATGATTTCAACATCAAATAAAACAAATGATGAAACATGCCAGTTAATGGCAGTGCCAACATCCAACCTCAATCCCAATCCAGATCAGAAACTGATTCTACCATAGTTATCTGGCAGGACTTAGCACATCAACTGGATCGTACTCAAAGCTGTATTTTCTTTTCTTTTTTCTTTTTTTTTTTTGAGATGGAGTCTTCCTCTCTCGCCCAGGCTGGAGTGCAGTGGCACCATCTCGACCCACTGCAACCTCCGCCTCCCATGTTCAAATGATTCTCCTACCTCAGCCTCCCCAGTAGCTGGGACTACAGGCGTGTGCCAACATGCCAAGCTAATTTTTTGTATTTTTAGTAGAGACAGGGTTTCACCGTGTTGGCCAGGATGGTCTCTTATCTCCTGACCCTGTGATCCGCCTATCTTGGCCTCCCAAAGTGCTGGGATTACAGGCCTGAGCCACCGCAACCGGCCTCAAAACTATTTTCTTACACAGGCAAAATACTCTCACAGAAGCAATATTTAAAGCAGAGCTCTTTTTTTCTTTTTCTTTTTTTTTAAAGGTTTGACAAGATCTTCGAAAGATTAAGAATAGACAGGAAACCAATTAAGATTGTTAAGAGTTAGGGCCCATAGTTTGGGCAAAGAAAGTTTGCCGCTCAGCAATCATTTGCCCCCAGAAAAGGGATTAGGTAGAGCTGTTTACACTAAGTATATGGACATTTTATAAAAAGGAATCAGACACAGAAAACTAAACCTCACAAAAGCAGAAGCTGGTTCTCCATGCCATGGCTCAGCCCTTCCCTTCCCCCACAGGCCAAAACTCAGCTGAACATCTACTTCCTTCCCTACTAACTCAGCAGTTCTCAGAAAGGAAATGGCAACCATATGGTTTCCCATTAACCAAAACGAAAGGCAGCCTTGAGAAACACCCTTCAGCCCAGGCTAGTTGGTTTCAACTACCTCTAAATCACTCCCAGAGGTGTGGTTAATAAAAAGAAAAAGAAGATGTCAAGAAGAACAATTATTTCTATGCAGATATCTTTCCTTATATTACCGTTCAGTGAAATAGATTTGCCATTCAGTCTATCCATTTATGTCATAAAGATTATATTGCTGGTTCTTTAATATATGCACAAGATTACTTCATGGTCTTCTTTTCTCTAAGGCTGTTGTTCTTCAAGCCTTCATTTTTCACAGCCTAAACCTAAGCTTACTCTGAGATGATAGATTCTTCTACTTTATGCCCAGAACCTCAAAACCATGATTTTGTGTAAAGATGCTTGGTGAGATCCACTATAATACAGAAGGGCATCCATTAGAATCCTGCAAATAGAAGGTTCTGTTATCTTGCGCCTCATTGATAAAGGTTTTGCTGTAAATTTTACCCAGCACTCAGTACTCATGCTCACTCCCAGGTTTTGGTTTCTGGAATTACCAAAATTATTTCACTTTGTTTGCAATCTCCATCTATTTAAAACTATTACAACATCAATGAAACAGTTGTTTGTACCAAGTACTGTTTGATTATAAATATCTTGTATAGTGAAACAATTTTAAAAATTAACAAGAACCGCAGTGTGCTCACCTTACAGATACAATCCACTTTGTAACATAATTGGCAACTCAAAAAAGAAAAACCCAAACAATTGGTCTTTTCTTAATCTTCCTAAAACAATTTAACCAAAAGACTCAGAAGTAATGTTTAGTAATGATTACAACAATAGCCGCACAAATCGTGCCTATAGTGATAAATGCTAATACACTGAACATTTGCTATGGGCCAGACATTTTACGCTCTAAGCACTTTACACTTTTTTGGGTTTTTTTGTTTGTTTGTTTGTTTTGGAGACAAGGTCTCACTCTGGGACCCACTGGGGCCAGATACGGTGGCTCCACCTGTAGCTCACTGTAACCTGGAACTCCTCTGCTTGTGATCCTCCAACTTCCGCCTCCAGAGTAGCTGGGACTACAGCTGTGCACCACCATACTTGGCTAATTGTTTTATTTTTTGTAGAGATGGAATCACACTGTGTTGCCCAGGATGGTCTCAAATTCCTGGTCTCAAGCAATCCTCCCATCTCAGTCTCCCAAAATGCTGGGATTACAGGCATGAGCCAGAAGGCATGACCTGATTTACACTTTTTGATGTGTTACTTAATATATGTGAAGTGATTGATCTCATTTTATAAGAAGTTATGGAGCCTGGATTTCAAAATAACTGTGTTTCATGTAATAACTTTTTTTACAAAACAGGTTATTTGCCCTAAAAAGTACATGTCTTTGTTTATCTAAATGGGTAACTGGATTTTTCAAAGGCTTTGTAATTCACAGTGGTAAATGCAGTAATATATTAGCTGATAACCCAAATCTGATGGTGTGGGGATAGTGAAATCTACTCATGAGGAATAACTCTGTAGTTTCCCTTGGGAAGAAATGCATCCCTAAATGGATTAATTCAATTCAGTTACATTATGTTTTTTTTTTTTTTAAGACAGGGTCTTGCTGTCACCTAGGCTGGAGTGCAGAGGTACAGTCACAATTCACTGCAGCCTCGATTTCCTAGGCTGAAATAATTCTCCCACCTCAGCCTCCCAGCCTCCCATATAGCTAAGACTACATGCACATGCCACCACACCTGGCTTATTTTTTTTATTTTTTATTTTTTATTTTTTAGTAGAGACAAGGTCTCGCCATACTGCACAGGCTGATCTCAAACTCCTGGGTCAAGCAATCCTCCTGCCTCAGCCTCCCAAAGTGCTGGGATTAAGGTGTGAGCAACTGTGTCCAGCATCTTTTTAATGATGTTTAATGATAGAGTGAACAACTTTGGCTTCTGTGTTCTAAAAATCTTTTCAAATGTATCATACCTCAAATAGCTACCTGGATTTACTGTTTGTTCAGATTAAGAAACGAAATATTATTAGCAAATTAACTGAAGACTGATGGGAAAACATATAGTACCAAGATGTTTCAAAAAGAGTTGCTTGCTACCATTTTCTGATGTTTCCTCATGTCCTATGGATAAATACATAAATAACAGTTTTTAAAAACCCAGCTGGCCCAGTTGGAGAGCCCTGGTCCTTAACAGGCTCTACAAGGAGAATGTGATGGTATGTATAGGAGACTAGTATCATG